TGGGGATGGGGCACGGGGGGGACTCGATGACCTTGGAGCTCTTGTGCCCAGGACACCTTCCAGGACTACCAGGAGATGTTCATCCAGTTCGGGTACGTGGTGCTGTTCTCCTCGGCCTTCCCCCTGGCCGCCGTGTGCGCCCTGGTCAACAACGTCATCGAGATCCGCAGCGACGCCTTCAAGCTCTGCACGGGGCTGCAGAGACCCTTCGGCCAGCGCGTCGAGAGCATCGGCCAGTGGCAGGTGGGCTGAGGGGCCGGGGGGCTCTGAGGGGCTCCGGGGGGGCTCCGAGGGGGGCTCAGCCCCCGGGGGCTCACCCCAGGCACCGCTGCTCTTGCAGAAGGTGATGGAGGCCATGGGCGTCCTGGCCATCGTGGTCAACTGTTACCTGATCGCCCAGTGTGGGCAGCTCCAGAGGCTCTTCCCGTGGCTCAGCCCCGAGGGAGCCATCATCTCCGTGGTGGTGCTGGAGGTACGGAATTGGTGCCGGGATTCACGACCGGGGGTTTGTGTAGGGTCTCCCCGGGCAGTGCCGGGGTGTGGTCATGGCCCAGGCATCCCACAGATCTTCCCTTGCCTTCCTCTCTACTCGCATATTTGGACATGAACATCCCTGGACATGAACATCCCTGGGCATGTTCATCCCTGGGCATGTTCATCCCACACAGGCCCATCCCGCCTGTGCCATGTCCATGCCTGGATAGTCACATCCCTGGGCAGGCAAATCCCTGGAAACCCACCCCCCCGACGTGTCCATCCCACACATGCACATCCCTGGACACGTTCCCTGCAGGCAGCTCGTGGGGTGGGGTCTGGAATCCCCCCCTGCTGTTACTGTAGGGTCTCCCCGTTCCCCACGGGGTGGGATTTCGGAGGGGGTGGCAGTGCCAGGGGAGCTCAGCCAGACCCGTGTGCCCCCACAGCACTTCGCCCTGTTCCTGAAGTACATCATCCAGGTGGCCATTCCCGACATTCCCGCCTGGGTGGCCGAGGAGATGGCCAAGCTGGAATACCAGCGGCGCGAGGCCTTCAAGGTGGGTGGGGCTGGGATGGGACCCTGCTCGGGGCTGGGCACGGGGCTGGGACCCCTGAACCAGGGCCAGGGGGGTCCCCGAGGTGTCCCTGAGG